GTGACTTCCTCATTAAGTAATGTAGACAATGTTACACAGCAAAATAAGTTAATTGAATTCATAGGATTTTAAAGGAATAGTACACCCAAAACATGATTAGCCTTCATTTTCTACTCACCCCCATGCTGAACAACACTCTGGAGTACTTTTTTGATATCTCAAATGCATCTGGAGATCTGGGAGGCTTCTTGCTGTCTGCTGACATTCAAATAATGGAGGTCTATGGTGCCCGAGGCAGAAAGGTGCATAAAAGCTCACAAAAAACGTGTCAATATTCTTCCATACTGCTCGTCCAATGTATTCCAAGTGTCCTGAGTGGGTAGCATCCAGAATTTACTTGAAACGAAGTCATTTAGAATGTTTTTAGAGCATAAACAGTAGTGTATAGGACTTCCTGGAAGCGCGCACCTGCGCGTTCACAACACTACGGAAGCCGGCAGACCAAACCAGATGAAAGTGCGCATTCAGCGTCTGCTCTGCCAATAATGCAAGCGTAGAAGAAGAAATGTGCTGTTTACCTGTGCAAAGAAAGAAACAACGAAAGAAAAATGTCTGAGGACTTCAGTGTTGAGGAAGAGCATGAGTTCTTTGCCGAGCTGAATGCGCACTTTCATCTGGTTTGGTCTGCCGCGGTTTCCGTAGCGTCGTGAACGCGCTTTCAGGAAATCCTATACACTACTGTTTATGCTCTAAAAACATTCTAAATGACTTCGTTTCGAGTAAATTCTGGATGCTACCCACTCAGGACACTTGGAATACATTGGACGAGCAGTATGGAGGAATATTGACACGTTTTTGTGGACTTTTATGGACCTTTCTGCCTCGGGCGCCATAGACCTCCATTATTTGAATGTCAGCAGACAGCAAGAAGCCTCCCAGATCTCCAGATGCATTTGAGATATCAAAAAAGTACTCGAGGTGTTGTTCAGCATGGGGGTGAGTAGAAAATGAAGGCTAATCATGTTTTGGGTGTACTATTCCTTTAAACTCAACACTTTTAATATGTCTATATTGGTCTGCATGAGGACATTGACTACGACTCACATCTGGATAACTCGAAAGTTGACCCTCCCACGCATTAGGTGTGCGGAATCCAAAACTGGTCTCTTATTAACTTATTTTTGGGCTAGTAGAGCACACCCTGCAGTTATTGATAAAAGCTGAATTAGACTTACCTGATCCCTGATGTAACCAAGACCAATGCTGCAGCAAGATGTACTGTAAGTAGTTCTCTGTTGAAAACCCCCCACTCACCCCATCCTGTGATTATGTGATGGAAAGACGCATGGAATGAACTTCTGAACTTCGACATCGACGGTCAGATAGGCAAGTTGGAAAGATAACAACTCATTAATGCCCTAGTCTACAAGAAATTGACTTAAAATAACCTTTTAAATCCCACACCGTCTCCAAAGTCTGTCATTGTTGTCTTTGGGGCAGTTTTAAGAAAATAATTAGAAGATAGGTTGGATTTAACTCCAGTGACTATCACAAACTCTTAGGAGGAACTCACTCTCACATAATCGAATTAAATTGCTAAAAACTTGTTCGTTTTATTTCTCTTGGATAGCATTTAGCCAGACCTATTCCGTAACTCACCTCTTTGTCTTTTTTTGAACTAATATCAGTTTTTATAACCTTTTATGCAAAAAGCCTATATTAAATGATGATTTTAGCTTAAAGGGAAAAAAGCTAAAAAATCCTTACAGGCAATGTATCTTTTACATTGCTATAGAGGCCCACTATATTTAATAGATTGGTTTCAATTTGACCACAATGGAGCCTTTGGTGCCACTGGTTCTCAATATGCTTTTCTGGAGTCCCAAAGCTTTAGGAGTGGATTTCTCTCTCTCTTTTTTTTTTTTTTCTTGCAAATTTATTCTGAACATGATATGAGGTTTGCTTTTTTACATTTGTGAGCTTCATTCTGTCAGGCGGGTTATTTTTTTGGGGGGGAATTTATTTATTCTCCAGCTTTGGAAATAGCCATGGTTAAATCTTGCCAATACTCAAAATAAACCAAAAAACAGTGGGATAATTTTTTCTCCTAATTAATGAAATCAATATAATTTATAATTAAATTCTACATTGTTTGTTTTTCCTTCAAAATCATATTTTTATTCTCTGTGAACTCAAAGGATTTTGACATTCATGCTCCACTGGTCAGCCTCAGCTTCACACCCTGTCATCTTGGTGGTCCTGTGACCTGAAGGTAAAGCTGTGAATACTGAATGTACATCTTTCTGCATGACTGCAAACATCTAGCCCTCAGCGGACATGCTGCCTCAGCGGCATGGCTGCTCTCTGAGAGCCTGCATAGTTGGACAGACTCGGATAGAAAAAAAAAAACACAGAGTTTAAAATCACCAGCAAAGGTTTCAGATGTGAATAGATGAATGGAAACTGTTGAGACTTGACAGCAACAAGCAGAAAGTCACACGATGCATTTCACTGATAGAGAAAAGTAAACTCTCCTGACTTTGACCTTAAAATAGAAAAAAAAAAACATCTTAACCCTGTGAGCAGAAATTTAGGTTACATCATGGTGAAAAAGTTTCAGTCCAGCATGTCATGAGGGATCAGAAGAAAATAACAACAGTGTTAGAAGGGAAAATGAAAAACTGGACTCAGGGGAGCTCTGCTTGGTGGCGCTGGTTAGGGAGATTAAAGATATGACGTGGGGAAATGATGCCAAGTTCAACCTCTTCGTCTTCTTCTTCCACGTTGCTCTCCTGGGCTCTGGTAGGTTTAAAAATAGAGCTTGTTTAATAGAGAAGAGTGCCGGGGGGAGGCGGACGGAGAAGAGGAGCGAGAAGCCCTCTGTGGTGGGAGAATGCAATTTGAGATTGGCCAGATTGCTTTTTATTCCTCCTTTTCTTCTCTCTGTCGGCCACTCACGAGGCGTGATGTGCACTGGCAGAGCCCCTAAGCCTCAATAAGCCTGACGCCAGTACCCACGTCGCCACCGAGGGGTTGTCGCACTCACAGCATGGGAAAATCAGCACGATGAAATAAAAGAGGGACTCAGGGAAGATCAGCAGGGATTTGAGAGTGATAGATGACAGTCAGGTGAGGGGAGTGGTGGAGTAAGAGGGGAAAGAAATGAAGGAGATGGCTTCAGTTGAATCAAGGTGGGGGACGACAGAATGTAAATGTACTTGAGCTGTCTGAGGTTGACTTTCTTTTTCACACGAGGTGCACTCAGTCTCAGCTTGCACTGAAAGTGAGGGAACATTGTTGGTAGTGACCGCTGACACAGAAGGACAGATGTGGCATGTTGGGTCTTGAGTAAACTGGCGATGTCGCATTTTCTGACAGTTCACTTCCTTGGGATTTAACTTAAGCTAAGTAAACAATAGATGAGAACATGGTTCTTCTGTTTCACATTATGAATAAAGAAAAGGGTGAGTTAGTTTGTGTGTATTTGTGAGTAGTCACGAACATGGAAAGCCCATTTGTGCCTAAGTTTTAACTTTGTGTCTTTAGGTGATGCATACTATAGCCATTATCATTTAACTGTTCTGTAACTCCTAGATCAGTTACTTGGGGTCCTTTTTGTGTATGTCCCCTGCCTTCTCAAATCCCCAGTGAGATGGGCATTGGCCATTTTCAGTGCGCCTGGTTCTGATGGAGATTTCTTCCCTCTTAAGTGCTGTGTCCCTGCCTGCATTCTGGGTAGGCAGGATTCCTACAAAGTCATTGATAGATTTCATGTCACTGTTAACCACAGAACAATGCTCATCCAGGAGGAGTGAAATCTCTGGGTTAATGTTAAGACGCAATGTTCTGGGTTTCCTTTTATAGAAAATGTTGCAAAGTATCTTTTTATTTTTGTTTAACATTTATGACAACTTCTCACCATTGTAAAGTGTAACAGTTAGTAAATGGACACCAGTCTTGGAAGGTTAACATAAGAAACGTTTGGGTGAAGACTAGCAAATGGTCTTGCAAAATATGAGTATAATCCTGCATGCAATGCTATGAAGTCATCCATTAGGACTGGGCAATTAATTGCATTTGCAATATGATCAAAAATTCACAAAATATAATTTTCATATCAAATAGGCACTCTATTTTGGTCACATTACATTTAACAAGACATTGAATTTACTCTCCGGCCCTTTAGGTGGCAGTCATTGTTTTAAAAAGAGAGAATAAGCCTGTAGATTCAAGCATGTGTGATGGGAGTAAGATTTATTTCCATGAAACAGCAACAATAAGTCCTGTGACAATGGACTCTAGAAAGGCAAGCTTTCAAGCTTGGACTTGACAGGACTAGCCTTTGGTCACCCTGGAGTTTTGGTGCCTGGGCAAGTGGACCATGATGGTTGCCTCTGCGATGTGAACCCCAAAGGAGTGTCACGGAAAAGGGGAAGAAGCAGGAATGAGACAGTTGTTTTGTCCTCAAAGCACCACAGGAGGCAAAGGCACACTCAAGTAGGGGTGACTCGTGATACTGTCTCGGCCTTGGGGAGGTTTGCAGGACCTTGAGTGTCTGAACAGCAGGCAAACCTTAACCCTCCTAATCCAATGGTTATGTTAAATATCAGTATGGACATTGGCTCTCAACGTCCACATTAATTGTTTATTGTACTACTATTATGTTCCTACTTGGTAGTCAAGACAAGAGTAGATAATATCTATAGTTAAAAGTTACCCTGGACACATTTAGGTCTGAATGAACTCGTTCTCTGTGAATTTATTGAAATTCCTGTTGCACCATTTCTGTCTGTTTCGTGACAACCAACCCAGGCCCTCTGCTGAACCGACGGCCAAGAGTTTTACTCTTGCTTTATTTGTGGGTTTCCCTCTGCTGACATATAAGATGGCTTCTGTTGGATATCATAACATCTAATTTTTCCAAGTTTTCTCCCCATTACATCAATGTTATTTTGCTTTAGCAATATGTTTAATGTGTCTCTTCAGAGTGTCTACCAATTAAGTATTTGGTTTTGGACAATAATCACAAGTTTATTGTTGTTTTTTTTTGTCTCTCTCAGGAGGTGAGGGTTCAGCCGAGACCGGTCAGAAGGAGACGTCCACCTGTGACATATGCCAGTTTGGAGCGGAGTGCGATGTGGATGCTGAGGACGTTTGGTCAGTTTGAACATACAAAGAACACACAATCATTTTGGGGTTTTTTGGGGGTTTTTTTTCTCCCACTCAACTCATGACTCCTTGCCTATCGATTTGACTCTTGTCAAAATTTCAATCATATCAGTTAAATATAGGCTTTAGCTCAAAGAATTCAAAGCAGCGCTTCTCTGTGTCCTGCACACACCAGCTGCTGAACACCCACCAGGGGTTTTTATTGCATGGCTGACCATTTCATTTAACCCCAATTACCAGAGCAGGGCCAGGAGAGAAAGGAGATTTTCGCTTATGCTGGAAATCCAATTATTCTCCTTACAGAACTTGGCAATGTCAGAGCAAAAATGTCTTTGACTCACACGAGAGAAACTAGTTCAGCAATGAAATAACGTTTGTTGTGGAGTTAACCATTTACTGCAGGTGGAACAGAAGATTCTTTATAGTCACTCTAATATGTTTTGTTGTGGGTGCAGCACAAAAAAATAAGCAACTCTCAGTGGGTTTTACACGGAAACATGTCTGTGGAAATTCCAATTAAGAGCCGACTCAACTGAGACGTTTTTTAGCAGCAGAATCAGACCATTTTACATGAATTAGGCTAAAATAAAGAAACATTGTTGATCTGCTTTGGAACATAATCGGCTGGTATCAGCAAAGACAGGCAGTACTTAGAAGAAATCCCAGATGTGCAGCTGGAAATTAGAAGCGCCCTGAGAGTATGACTCTATCAAACCGCTTGATGTAATGGAAAGATAATGTACCCCTGTGTGCAATAACCATAATGCCAAGGAATGGCTTCATGATGCATTTTAAGCCTCGTTGCAAATACTAAACAGTCTGAGCCCACCCCTCCTGATGCCACCTACTTTTGCAAATGCACCTTAATATGCTACTAAAACCCAGAAATTGATTTAATGGCACTTCTGTATACCCAGTGGGCGAATTTATCCAATCACTACAGGACACAGTTGACAGTTTGTGCACATAAAAGTAAAACACTAAAGAAAATGGAGCCTCAATCCTATTTAGCAAAACCTGAATTAAAGACAATTACACATCGCATAACACAAGAGGAAGACGTAGAACAAGTCAGTAACACATCTTGTTAAAAAAAAAAACTATTTGACATAAATATTATAACAGACATGAATATTTTAGCTTTTTTTTCTTGTAAAATGAAAACTATGAGTGTTTAATCTTTAAAAGCCCCGAGGTGTTTTGATAGGAGCGTTTCTGGTGGATTATCAGGAAGGTAATTGCAACCCGACGGTGGGTGAATTTCCTGAAACGGCAGCCAGCGGTGGCTGCAGAGTAAGACTGTTTTGATTAAAATGACAGGTTAGTCCAATCAGGCGGCAGCGGGTTTTAATCAAACACACTGTCAGTTAATCACACTGTGATTGGAGAGAGGTGGCAGTAATCAAAGACCGTCTTATTTTTACAACAACAGTCCACATTATTACATCGTTTCCACAGCAGGCAGTTTTAAAACAACTTTTAAAAAGAGGAATTTGACACATTTGTTTTTTTTTTTCGTTCATCCTATTGGTTTCTCTGCAGGGCTACCATTAAGGTTAAAATAGGGTGTTTAAGCTTGTTTTTCTGGTTAAATGTTTTTTTTTTTTTTTTCAATGAGACTAATTATTCCAGAGAATACTATCTGCAATCCCTGCTGGAAATCCAGGGCATCCTTTAATCAAACAGAGTTCAATTCACTGCTTTGCATCGACTCATCATGGGTTAAAACCTATTTTAATTCCTGCCTATTCAACATTGATTTGAAATGTTCTTTCTCCAGTTTAAAATGAATTTGCAACAGAAAGCTGCAGCTGTTTTTAGAAAGGAATTAGGAGCACAAGTTTTAGTTATTGTGGATTTTTTCCAAACCGGGAACGGTTAGTGCTCAAATATACCCAGCTGTCTGACATTTGGATTAAAGGCCGCTTGGCATTTTTTTTTTTTTTTTTTTTGGGAGCTATTAGAAACATTGTCTCATTACTGTTCAACAAATTGCTGCTCTTGATTTGATATCATTGGTATCCTTTCAGTTCAGTGGTTTTCTGTCATAGAGCTTTTATTTATAGCTGTGGTTTTTTTGATGAATATTGACTTAAAATCATTCTGCGTCAAACATTACAAGGCCAGATTGGATGTGTTTGGGATTATTGTGTATTCGGAAAACCCAACTTTTTGAGCATTTGATTCAACTTGCCCTCTCCAAGTTAAATTAAAAATGCTTAGCACTAACCCATGATCCATAGTGAAGGCTTGTACCAGGGAAACATGTCTCAGCTTCTGAATTAAAAAGTTCAAGATGAATGGTAATCCACAGATTCGAACAAAGAAAATCCAAATGTTTTTTATTTACTTTTGTAACATTTATTTAGCACAAAAGTAATTGCTCAGACCAGAAAAATATTTAAGCTGCATTGTTAAAACAGGTTTGGAGAAGGTGAGATGTACCAAGTGTAAAGCATTGTGATGGCATCATCATGCAGTTTTCACTGCAGGAAATAAGGAAAGGAAATAACAAAGGACAAGTTCCTTCAAATATTTTAGATATACCCAAATGATTTGGACACTGGCAACACTATGATCTCAAACACAGATTTACACAGGTAACACTAAAGGATTACATTAAGCTCTAGTTTACAACTGGAACCAATCTGACAATAACAGAAAAATAAGCATTTTGTTTTCATGTTTAAAATCATAGAAAACATTGGCTGTGGTTCACAATTCATTTAGGTTAGTTAAAGGCATACTATGCAACATTTTTCAGTTAATTAATGTGTTCCATAACATTTTGGATGATTAAATGAGTCATTTCAGCTAGAACAAAGGTTTTCTCGGCCGCCCTGGTGGTCTGTAGGGGGAATACCGTACTTGCAATTGCAGGAGCCCTCGGCCTGCACCCACAGGTTCAGAAGTCTTGTGCATCGCGAGAGTCGGTCTTACTTTACGGCGAGAACTTGGCTAACTACAATCTTTGTTATTTAGACACATGCATAACACATAATACATGAAAACATGCTAAATTTTCAAACTCGAAAATTGGAACAAAATAGTCTCTTACCGCAGTAGACATGGTGATTCGTTGCGTTCACCTGTCTGCTAAGCTCAAAACAACCGCGCCTGGCTTGACGGAGAAACCAGGAGAACAGCGCACTTTTACTTTCGCCCTCTGGGGGGAGCCTCACTGGAAAATCAACACCGGTTGCATAGCATACCGTTAAAATTTAATATATGCTCATGCACGACCTCTGACACAAAACTGTCCTCCTCTTGCATGTTTCTGTTGTCCATAGCGTTCCTTGACAGTGTCGTTTCTAAGTCACCAATTTAGTGCTACTAGATCCCAATGTAATTTCTCATTGGAAACCTACTAGCACTAAGTTGCTAACTGGTTAGCAAGATGCTTCCGAAAAACCAGCCACAATCACACTTGCCTGCGAACCTTCCGCCACAACAATTCCACCCTCTTGATAAGTTACCGATCACATTCACTTTATTCACTTGTGTAAATTCGTGCACCATTCGGTAGAATTCGGAAATGCAACGGTTGGAATTGCCGTTTCCCTACGACTTTGAAGCTTGAGCAATGTTTACCCTGGTTGAGCCTGTTTTAATCATCAACTTCATTTGTATAGCCTGGAAGTCTATGCTCAAAAATCACTACCATAAAACAGCAAAACAACTTCTAACTCTACTTACAATAACTAAATATCTGAAGATATAAACTAAAGATCAGCAGTCAGTTCTAAAAACATCTTATGATGAACCCTTGTTGATCCCTGGTGAACCACGAACCAGATTAGCTCCTTATAAGCAGTTTGCGAACATTCTGTTTAATTTTATCTGCACCTTCCTCATCCCAGCTGCAGCCACTGGTCTGTCTTGCATTTTGTTGATAAGCTTGGTTTATGTTACATGTTCGATCCTCATCTTTAGTAAAACAAAACACAACACACTCATCAAAACACAGGGCAGATGCGAGCGGTTGTGGTAAAGAACTTCGTCTGTATAAAAAGTGGCGTGCTCTGCTCCTCATCTATTCGTTAACAGCTGCCAATCAGCTAGCTAACAGCTATTTCTGTGCACAACATGTTCACACACTCTTTCTACCATAATAACAGTCTACACACAGCATTTTACACCCTCATTCATAACACGGTAAAATCAGGGACATTTCCGGGGACAGCCGGGACCGGTGATCCAAAACGGGGACTGTCCCCAGAAATCGGGCACATTTGGTCATCGTACTTTAAGCTTCCACTTGGAACTGGGGACAACCAGGAGCAGCTGGTCAGAACACCTGAGTTGCCAAGCCAGAATATAAGCAGGGTTCCTACAGCATAAGGCGAGTTAAATTCAAGATTTTTTAAGACTTTTTAATGCCACTTGAAATAAAAATTTAAGACCAAATTCACAAGAAACACAAGAAAAACCTGCTTGCAACAACTTAACCCAAAAGTTTATTNAAAGGAAATAACAAAGGACAAGTTCCTTCAAATATTTTAGATATACCCAAATGATTTGGACACTGGCAACACTATGATCTCAAACACAGATTTACACAGGTAACACTAAAGGATTACATTAAGCTCTAGTTTACAACTGGAACCAATCTGACAATAACAGAAAAATAAGCATTTCCTTTTCATGTTTAAAATCATAGAAAACATTGCTTGTGGTTCACAATTCATTTAGGTTAGTTAAAGGCATACTATGCAATATTTTTCAGTTAATTAATGTGGTCCATAACGTTTTGGATGATTAAATGAGTCATTTCAGCTCGAACAAAGGTTTTCTTTGCATTTTCTTGCACAAAATCCACTGAGCCTCATGTATGTTCCCTGGTTTTAACCATGGCGGAAACTCTTGGCTGGAGACAATTTTGGTTACAAAATTTGGTTACAAAGTAAATGGCGCATCTCCCAAATGTCCCGGCCGCAATCGGGACGGAACCAATAATGGCGAGCCATTATTTTCTTTTTTAATAAAAA